TATATATATATATATATATATATATCATTTTCCATACTATAGATATAAGCAAACTGCAAATCAAACCTTAGTCAACACACGCCTGCACAGTCAACTGTGTGAGGGACAGGACTTAGCATGCTCCCAGCATCGATCCACTGTTCAGTATGCAATCTTACAACGAGACTGTCCCAAACAGTGGTAACCTAGGTGATACCCCCCATCGAAATGAAAGGAGAACTGACCTGAATTATACATAACGTGATATCTTAACTACATAACACGAAACCCCGGGAGTCTTTATTGGACTAAACGGCTTGATATTGTGATAGTACGAACGGCATACCTCTGAACTTTGATCGCGCAGACGGTGGACTGATTGTCGTAGAAGATCACACCCTAAAGTGCAACCAAATAACAAGCCACTTTCAATCCGATGTGGTTGGTGTTCAATGATATTTGCTTGTTATTTAAAGTTGCCACGGGTAGTAAACTCGGGCCGACAGGGACATGCTCACGTGATACGAATCTATTTACATACACACCCACGCAGAACGATACCAACGAGCATAAGTAACAATTCGTATGGTGTAACTAGGCTGGTGATGGAATGACAGCACCATAAATAGACCGAGGGTTTTAGGGTTTAGGGTTAATCGGTCGGCAATGTTGGACTAGGGTGGCAATTGAGGGACCGAAAACATAGATGCGCTATGCGAGAAAGCTTAGGCTCACAATGTTGGACTACACTATCAATGAAAGAACAGAAACACAAATGTGCCAAGCTCTAATAGGCGAGTTCGTACTATGACAACATAAGCATTACAAAAAACATAAACGTACAAGGCTCAGTCAGGTCAAGTTCATATAATTAAAATAGACTTTAAATGGAGGGATAGTACTGAGCATATACCATAACCAGATCACTTACTTTGTGAACGGTTCCAAAGTTCCCCGCGCCAATTACTTCCAACACTGTAAAGGTGTCGCTGTGGATTTCAGCTTTCTGAGAGAAGGTGAAGGGAGAAACAAGCCTTAGCACCACAGCAGTGACTGGTGTGGTGTGTATGGGCATACAAGGAACTGGCCGCAACTAAGTCATATATTGCCGTTTACCGCCTATGCTTGAAAACCTTTACCGTTGTACCGGAAAGGACAAAGATTAGCGCAATGGTGCTTCGTGATGTAGTATGGCGTGTATGGGTATACAAAAGGCGAGCCGGAAGTGAGTCATGTATACTGTCAACCAATTAATTTCTTGAATCTCGTGGGGGAACTGACTCATACATCCGCGGCGAAGTAGCTGGCAGAGCGAACGCATGTCAACACACACTTGATGCGAAACAAGCCTGTGGACCAGCTTGTACATCTAGAGGCACACACTCGAAACCGCGAGCCATGTATACACACACACACACGGACACACATACACAGACACAGACACACACAGAGACACACAGACACAGACACAGACACAGACACAGACACACAGACACAGAGACACAGACACAGACACAGACACAGACACAACTATAAAAATGAACACACGTACCAAGCGTTGCATCTTAAGGAGCATCTCTTCGTCGTCGCTTCGTCCAGCGGCCCTTCCCAGCTTGCTGATGATATGATTCATCTTTCGCTTCATACCTTGTTCTTTCGCTTCGTACCTAAACGCCCATCAAATAACACTATCAGTCGGTCGGCCACAAGATACAAATGTAACAACTACACACACACACTCTTATATGTATATATATATGGTATAAATCGCTAGTTCAATACAAACACACACCCACACCCACACCCGCACTATATATATATATATGAAAATAATAAAATAAAGATAATAAATA